CAGAGGCCTCCACCTCTGTTTAATGATGGACGGTCTTTCTTCACAAAAATGGCTTCTTTTACTCCTCTCTCAAACCAACATTCCTCTCTATCAAGAATGAGAACATCCTCATCTCTGAAAGAGTGACCGCTGACCTGTAAATGAGTGAAAACTGCAGAGTTCTGGCCATTAGACGTAGCTCGTCTGTGTTGGGACATTCTTTTGAACAGTGGTTGCTTTGTTTCCCCGATGTATAACTGGTCGTAGTCCTCCTGGCACTTAACAGCATATACAACATTGCTCTGTTTGTGCCGGGGCACCAGATCTTTGGGGTGAACCAGCCTTTGCCGTAATGTGTTTTGGGGTTTGAAAGCCACTGGGACATCATGTTTAGAAAATAAATGTCTCAGTTTCTCCGAAACACCCGTAACATAGGGAATAACCACTGGTTTGGGTCTGGGTTTGGGGTCTTCATTTTCACCTGAAGGTTGCATGGAGTCCTGTCTGTGTTTCCTGTCTGCTTTCAGGAAAGCCCAGTCAGGATAACCACACTGCTCCAGGGCCTGTCATGTGTGTGATTTCTCTTTCTCCCTGGCTCCTGGGTTTGTAGGGACACTGTCTGCTCTGTGGTACAGAGTCCTGATCACTCCTAACTTGTGTTCCAGTGGGTGGTGGGAGTCAAAACGCAAATATTGGTCTGTGTGGGTGGGCTTACGATATATGCCAGTTTCCAACCGTCCTCCATCCTCTATCCTCTCTCTCCATGTACCAATAAATACTACCTTACACTCAGCCGTCCTTTATTCACCTTTTCAATGCAAAGCAAGAATCACTTGTTCTCAAAGTGGTCAAGCCTGTTGGACAAAGATTAGTAGTAGATGTGGTTGAGGTTCTGCACAGAAAACCTTTGCACCTGTTTCTATCATGATGTAGAATAGTGGTTCCAATACAACAGCAAGGCTAACGCTATCTTTCCAATAAGATTTTTTTTCATTTACCACAGTTAGTTGTGTGAATGCTTCATAGCATTCATTGTGTGAATGCTTCATAGTATTCCTATACCGTCCTGTCGTCAGTTACGTCATCACACCTGTGTCAACAGGGCTGTGAATGCAGAGACAACTGAGAAGGAGTTTGAAATATAATGAAGAAGTTATAGTGATTTAAAACATGTAAAGAGAGAATAAACCCTCAAAATTTCCCCGACCCGCTGCAGAAAGTTACGTCGGGACCATTTCTTTTGCCACCCACAACCCCACTGTCAATGCACGTCACGCAGAGCGAAGCTTTAACAACTGTAGTTTTTTCACACCCAAGTTGTCGGAGAAATAAACTTGTTTTGATAAAAGATGATAAAAAAAAGATGTGGAAGTCCGTTCAGTCATAAATCCATCTTGCTAATGTAGCCTAAAGTCGGCTTCTGCTCTGATGATGATGATGATGATGATGATGATGATGATGAAGATGACGATGAGAGCGCAACAGAGCAGCAGCAAGTTCAGCAGGCAAAGGCAAGGTATGGTAGGCAATGTTACATTTATTTGGCTTCACCACAGTTACTTGAAATTGTTTTATGACAGGACTATGTGCAGCTTAAGCCACTTAAGGTCCTGTCACACTATAACATTTTAGGCAACATTGAATTTTTTTTATGTCTAAATTACTAATTTTACTTGAAGTACTGGTTATAACATCTTTATTTTGATATTGTTGAAAATTTGAGAAATGTTTTTGTTGTTGAAACCGTTTTGCAGTATACATATATAAAACATTCTTTTGTACTTCTGTTATGTTCATTTGCACTACAGCAAAAATGCTGGGTTTGATTATGATTACAGTTTTCTGCACAATAAATGCTCTAAAAATTACATTATCTTTGCTTTTTATGATAATTTTCTACCGCRATATATACCGTTACCATGAAGGGATTCAATTTATACCATGATATGAATTTGAGGTCATACCACCCAGCCCTAACCAGAGGCCATGAGTTAGTTTTTACTACATTGTTCAACTTTTTTTACAACACATCCTCTGCACCATTTAACACCTAACAGCAGCCGAGAAACCCACAGAACAAGTTACCTTCATAAACCTGAGTAACCAGACTAAATCATCTGTACCTGATAAAAGTTACAAAAAATTATAGAACAATGTGAGTAAAACKGAAGTGTAAATCTCCTTACCAAAGAACAAAAACTTGTTTAAGAAACTGATGTCACTGGTGTTAGTACTAAATAAACTACAACTACTTTTTAAATCACAGATTACACATGTACACACAGATTTTCCATGTAGATTAGCTTCAAAATAAAACCATGGTCTACTTCTGCACAGAGCCAGTGTGACAGRAAACATTCATAGGGATGGGATWAATGGGATCAACAACAATCACTGAGAGCTGATACCAAGATGTCTGATATTACAAAATATTGAAAACAGCACAATTTCTGCACACAGAAATAGAAAATACAACTTCGACTACAAAACCACTTTCACTAATCAGAATTTTGTTAAATTTATTTTGTAGTTTACATATAAACTATGGTTTTACCCAGCATGTTTCTATATATTTATCTATTAGAATGAAATATAATACATAGGCCTAAAGGGTAGATTGTCTACTGTATTTGTAATGAACAAGACACGAGTCAAATAAAACCATCAGGGACCTTTACAGCAGATGTAGTAACTAAATCYAAGTGCTACATTTAAGATTTTTCTCTGGTTGACATGATTCGTGCACTTTAGCCGGAGCAGTGAGGGAGGTGCACAGGGGGTAAAGGTACAATCTTGCTGTCTAAGCCACAGACAGGCACAGAATTTATTGTTAGATTTTAAATTCTAAAAAGTCCCRGGAGGTTCGGCGGCACAGAGCGGGAGGAGGGGATGCAGTCGGACGTGAACACGTCCGGATGCTGCTGCTCGGTGAGGACAGGAGAAGTTGTGGTGCTTTTTCACCAGGACTCAGAAACAAGGACCCGCCCTACTCTGCTCTGGTTGTGTAAAACTATGGCTCTGGTTCACATTATTTGTTGATCGCCACATCAGTTTAATCCTGTATCATCCAATGCAACAAATACAAGTTGTTTTCTCTCTCAATTTTACAAATGATGAAAATCAGTCAATAGACAACTTCAATCCACAAATTTCAAACCCCAAAAAACATCCAAGGACTTTGAAAGACAAGTGTCATTTTTGGCTGTTTTCAAAAACTTTCCAGGGCTTTGAGTTCTTCTTCTTTTTTTTTTTTCAAATACACATACTTTCAAGGATTTCAAGGACCCGTGGGAACCCTGAAAACTCTTTTTCAGTTTTTCCTGAAGGGGACATGAAGCAACAGCTCAGAAATCTGCCTGTCAGTCTGTGGACGGACAGATAACAGCAGCAGAGATCAGCAGYGTTTAGGTGCAGCTCAGTCTAAAATGCCAGCTATTCTGCTCCTTCCTTAAAAAAACCATTGTTGTGCACTAACAGCCAAGCAGAAAATAATTAACACAATATGGGATTAATAAAAGTATTAAAGTTGTAATGCATCGATGAAGTGTCATTATCCCTCATAAGAATATTTTTTAGTCCCACATTTGGGTTTTCAGGGTCTCCCTATTTACCCCCTAATTAACCCCATCCCACTCCACACACACACACCCACCTCGTTAGTGTTAAATTTTGACCACGACAGTCAGTCACCGTCTGATGAGTCTACATGTTGTAATTTATTGCACTGACTTCTGTCACTAAGCAGTTTCACCCAAACAAGCCTATTTCATATTGTTGGTCGTTCAGCCACAGCAGAGCAGCAGCTCTATGCCGTCCTGCATGAGGACATCTGTGAACGTGAAGGAGGAGGGAGACAAATCATTAGAAAAAAATATGAGTCAGACACAGATGAAGATGACATGTTAGAATTCAGAGCATGGACAGAAACAGAGCTCTGTGATGACGGAGAGATGGAAGGAAGATCCTCCGTTGAACAAGAAAGCCATGCGTAGTTTTGTGTAAAAAAATATATACTGTGTATATA